CCACTGGAGTCTCACGAGCTGACCGGGAGACAAATCCAGCTCTGGTGTTTTCCCTTCCTGGTTCCAATTTTCCTGACAAAACCATTGGAATCTCACGGCTTGACCGGGAGATAAATCCAGCTCCTCCAGCAGGGATTTCCTGGTGCTGTTTTCCCTTTGAGGTTCCATTTATTTTCCTGACAAAACCATTGGAATCTCACGGCTTGACCGGGAGATAAATCCAGCTCTCCTCCAGCAGGGATTTCCTGGTGCTGTTTTCCCTTTGAGGTTCCATTTATTTTCCTGACAAAACCATTGGAATCTCACGGCTTGACCGGGAGATAAATCCAGCTCCTCCAGCAGGGATTTCCTGGTGCTGGTTTTTTTTTTTTTTTTGCTGAAAGGGTCCATTTTTAACCCAGATTTTCCCCGCTGCAGGCGCTGCCTCCAGATCCTGGCGGCCGGGCTCTTCCTGCCCGGCTCCGTGGGCATCACGGATCCGTGCGAGAGCGGCAACTTCCGCGTGCACACGGTGATGACGCTGGAGCAGCAGGTGAGCAGGGGTCCCCAGAAGGACAGGGGGGCTCTTTTGGGGGTCCCTGTCCCCACACTGAGCCCTCCCTGTCGGCAGGACATGGTGTGCTACACCGCCCAGACCCTCGTGCGCATCCTGTCCCACGGAGGATACCGGAAAATCCTGGGGCAGGAGGGGGACGCCAGCTGTGAGTGGGGTTTGCGGGGTGTCAGGGTGGGGACGGGGCCGGTGTCACTTTGAGAAGTCCCCAGTGTCACCTCCTGGGGCAGACCTGGCCTCTGAGATGTCCACGTGGGACGGGGTGATCGTGACGCCGTCGGAAAAAGCGTACGAGAAACCCCCGGAGAAGAAGGAAGGGGAGGAAGAGGAGGAGAACCAGGAGGAGCCGGCGGCGGGGGAGGAAGAGGAGAGCATGGAGACACAGGAGTGACACCTGTGCCACCTGCAGCAGGTGAGGGGACACCAGCCCGGGGGTCCCTGTGCCCTGTCCCTGTTTTGTACGTTGCACATTAAAGTGTCCCCCCTTTCCAGCGTGTCCTGCTTGTTCACATCCGTGTGGGACAGGTGGGACTGGGGCACGTGGAGCAGCAGGAGAAGGATCCAGAACTTGAAGGAACCACCTGGGGCTGCCCAGACCCCACTTGGGGCAGCCCAAACCCCACCTGGGCTTCCCAAATTCCACCTGGGGGTGTCCAAATCCCACTTGGGGCAGCCCAGACCCCACCTGAGCCTCCCAAATCCAACCTGGAGGTGCCCAGACCCCATTTGTGCCTCCCAAATCCCACCTGGGGTCTTCCAAATCCAACCTGGAGGTGCCCAGACCCCACCTGTGCCCCCCAAATTCCACCTGGGGGTGTCCAAATCCATTCTGGAGCTGCTCAGACCCCACTTGGGGCAGTCCAAACCCCACCTGGGGGTGGCCAAATCCAACCTGGAGCAGCCCAAACCCCACCTGTGCCTCCCAAATTCCACCAGGAGGTGCCCAGCCCCCCCTGGCAGCACCTCTGTTGTCCCCAAGGCCCCTCAGGGACGTGGGAACATCATCACAAACTCTCAGTCACTTTTATTCCAGCGCCCACAAATCCGGGATTCTGGCTCGGAGTGTCCCAAGTCCCTCAGCTGCAGGTGATGGGGGGAGATCCCCTCAATTCCTGAGCTGGGATCAACAGCAATTCCTGCTGCATCCCCTGGCTGGTCACCTGCTCTCCTGGATGGTCATTTGGTCACTTGGTCACTTGCCCTGGTAGCCCCCAGCCTCCAGCATGGCTCTCCTCCTCACTGTCTCCTTGGCCACGCTGTGGTTCAGCCTCCTCAGCCGCTCCTGGACGTGACAAAAATCACAAAAAATCACAAAAATCACCTGTCAGCACCTGAGGGGGGCTCTGGCACCCCCCATTTCCCTGCTCCCCCCTCACCTGGGCGTTCTGCAGGATGTTGTTGACCAGCACCACGCGGCGCCGGGCGTTCAGCAGCTTCTTCACGTAGGGGTCGAGGTCCAGAGCCACTTTCTGGTCCTCGTTGATGCGGCAGAGCTCTGGGGAGAGGCTTGGGTGAGCCCCCTGTCCCCCCTCAGGTTGATGGGGGGGACAGGGGTGACCCCCCCAGGGTTTGGCTCACCTGTGGCCAGGCTGTCGATGTGCTCCCGCAGCTCCACCTGGCTCTCCCTGGGGAAGGGGATGGGGAAAAATCGGGATTTACACCCCAAATCCATCTCTATTCCCTCCCCAAAAATGGGAGCTGCATGCCCAGCACCCCCCAGACACCAAGCCCAAAAATTGCCCACCTCATGTACCCCTAAAGCTCTTCAGTCCCAAAATTCACCTTCACACACCCCCAAAGCCCTTCAGACCCACAGAACAGCCCTCATGCACCCCCAAAGCCCTTCAGCCCCAAAACTCACCCTCACTTACCCCTACATCCCCAAAATTCACCCTCAAGTATCCCCAAAGCCCTTCAGCTCCAGAACTCACCCTCACGTACCCCAAAAGCCCTTTAGGCCCAGAACTCATCCTCATGTACTCCCAAAATCCCTTCAGCCCCAAAACTCACCCTCACGTACCCCTAAATCCCTTCAGCCCCACAGACCTCGCCCTCACGTACCCCCAAACTCCCTTCAGCCCCACAGAACAGCCCTCCCCGGCTCCACCGGCTCCACCTGCCCCTCAGCCCTGCAGCCCGGCCCTCCCCGTTACCGGCCCGTCCCTGCCCCGCTGCCGGCCGCCCTCGGTGCCCGGACCTGACGCTGTGGACGTGGCGGTCGAGCTGTCGCACGGCGGGGCGCAGGAACTGCAGCAGCCCCTCGGCAAAGAGCTCCCGAGCCCCGGGGCCGCTCCCCGCCGCCATCTTAACCCGCGGGGGCTGCCGGGAAACCGAGTCCTCGATGAGGGGGAGCGGCCGCTTCCGGTGCGCGCCGCGGGGCCTGCCGGGAAACCGAGTCCCCGATGAGGGGGAGCGGCCGCTTCCGGTGTGCGCCGCAGGAGCTGCCGGGAAACCGAGTCCGCGGGGAGATAGAGAGCAGCCGCTTCCGGTGCGCGCAGCGAGGGCTGCTGGGAAATGTAGTCCCAAGGGCACTGCTGAGCGTCCAAAGGCGCTCCCACGGCCAGGCCACAGATTCCAACCCCATCCATTAAATAATGGTTAAAACACGCTGTTGGTCCTTTCGCCTCGTTTTAAAATTTTTTTTGGTTTATTTTCATACAAAAGTTAAAGCAGGAGGTGGAAATCAGCACTAAGGGCTGCACTACACCCAGGCCACAAACACCAACCCCATCCATTAAATAACTGTTAAATCAACACACTTTCTGTAAACTCACTTCATTTTTTTGCCATTTCGCTTCATTTTTTCGCCTTTTTTCCCCTTTTTTTTTGGCCGTTGCTTGCAGGATTCAGGCGTGGGCGTCGGGCAGGGCGTGCAGGACGTGGTCCAGCAGCTGCAGGGCGCGGTGCAGGTGCACCTCGATCCAGCAGGGCGTGCAGGTGATGCTGGCCCGGGGGTAGTCGGGCCCCCAGCCCTTAACGAAGCTCAGCCTAACGAGGCACAGGCGCCGCAGGTCATCCACGCCGAGCCCCGCGGCCACCGACAGCCCTGGGGGGGGGACATGGTCAGCACGGGGGTCCCAACCTGTCCTGGGGGGTGGGACAGCCCTGGGGGTCAGCACGGAGGTCCTGCCCTTGCTGTGGTCACTCACAGATGGTGGGAGGGGTCATCATGGGGGTCCCAGCCTGTCCTGGGATCACTCAGGGGTGGTGGGACAGCCCCGGGGAGGTCAGCACAAGGACTGAGCACTGCTGTGGTCACTCAGCACAGGGACTGAGCACTGCTGTGGTCACTCAGAGGGGTCAGCACAGGGACTGAGCAGTGCTGTGGTCACTCAGCACAGGGACTGAGCAGTGCTGTGGTCACTCAGGGGGGTCAGCACAAGGACTGAGCAGTGCTGTGGTCACTCAGCACAGGGACTGAGCAGTGCTGTGGTCACTCAGAGGAGTCAGCACAGGGACTGACCATCGCTGTGGTCACTCAGCACAGGGACTGAGCAGTGCTGTGGTCACTCAGGGGGGTCAGCACAGGGACTGACCATCGCTCTGGTCACTCAGCACAGGGACTGAGCAGTGCTGTGGTCACTCAGCACATGGACTGACCATCGCTGTGGTCACTCAGCACAGGGACTGACCATCGCTGCGGTCACTCAGGGGGGTCAGCACAGGGACTGAGCAGTGCTGTGGTCACTCAGCACAGGGACTGACCATCGCTGTGGTCACTCAGCACACGGACTGACCATCGCTCTGGTCACTTGGGGGGGATCACACAGGGACTGACCATCGCTGCGGTCACTCAGCACAGGGACTGACCATCGCTGTGGTCACTCAGCACAGGGACTGACCATCGCTCTGGTCACTCAGAGGGGTCAGCACAGAGACTGACCATCGCTGTGGTCACTCAGCACATGGACTGACCATTGCTGTGGTCACTCAGGGGGGGTCACATACGGACTGAGCAGTGCTGTGGTCACTCATGGGGGTCACACACGGACTGACCATCGCTGTGGTCACTCAGCACATGGACTGACCATTGCTGTGGTCACTCAGAGGGGTCAGCACAGGGACTGAGCAGTGCTGTGGTCACTCAGCACATGGACTGACCATCGCTGTGGTCACTCAGCACATGGACTGACCATTGCTGTGGTCACTCAGCACATGGACTGACCATCGCTGTGGTCACTCAGCACAGGGACTGACCATCACTCTGGTCACTCAGCACAGGGACTGACCATTGCTGCGGTCACTCATGGGGGTCACACACGGACTGACCATCGCTGTGGTCACTCAGAGGAGTCAGCACAGGGACTGACCATCGCTGTGGTCACTCAGCACACAGACTGACCATCGCTGTGGTCACTCAGGGGGTCAGCACACGGACTGACCATCGCTGTGGTCACTCAGGGGGGTCAGCACAGGGACTGACCATCGCTGTGGTCACTCAGGGGGTCACACACGGACTGACCATCGCTGTGGTCACTCACCGATGGCCGGGGCGATGCCCCCCACAGAGGCAGCCCCGGGGATGCTCCCGGCCACCGCGGCCGCCTGGGCAGTGGCCGCAGCCTGGGCAGTGGCCGCCTGCTGCTGCATCTGCCGGTGGCACTGGCGCAGGTCAAACACCTGCGGGGACACCGGGGGGGGCACACACACGGTTTACCAAAAATCCTTTCCTTAAGAGTTTTTTCTTAAGATTTCTTAAGGTTTTTTTTTCTCCTGAGAAGCTGAGAAACCTCAAAAAGAAAATATAAATGATAATTATCTACTGCTGTGAAATGCAACAAGTAGATCTGTGATTGGTCTGATGTAATTATTTCTAATTAATAACCAACCACAATCCAGCTGTCTGGACTGTCTCAGTCCTTTATCATCATTCCTTTTCTATCCTTAACTAACCTTCTAATAAAATCCTTTCTTCTAGTATTTTGATAGTATTTTAATATTATATATATATAAAAATAATTTGTATATTTATCAAATATATATTTATTTATAAATAAATATATATTTGATATAATATATAAATATAGAAAATATATTATTATATATTATATATAATAATATATGTATTTATAAATAAGTATATATTTGATATAATATATAAATAAATTTATAATATATATTATGTCTATAATATATAATATATATTATAAAATTTATCAAATATATATATTTATTTATAAAACATGTTTTAGAAGGTTGGATTTATAAATAAATAAATATATAAAATAAGAAATAATAAATAAATTTTAAAAATTAAATAAATATAAAAATAAAAAAATTAAATAAAAATAAATAATTTCTTTATAAATCAAACCTTCTAAAACATAAAATCACCACTCTCATCTCTTCCCTCATCCTCAAACCCCTACAAACACCACACAGGGGGACCCCTGAGCAGGGCACCTTTGGGATTGGGGGCGTCCCTCCATCCCTGGGGTCCTTCCACTGCCCAGAACCCCCAAAAATCCGGGCACAGCCCCCCCCAGCCCCCCGGGGACCCCGACCTTGATGTGCGCTCCGGGGTACACCTTGTGCACGGCGTCCCCGGGGGCTCTGCCCGCCTCCCTGTCCAGGTAGAAGCTCTGCACGAACACGGCGTGGTCGCTGCGGCAGCGCATCCACACATCGCCCTCTCCTCGGCGCTCCAGCTGCACGCCCTTCCCGATGTGCAGCCTGGCCAGAGCCTCAGCATGGACCCCCTCGGGACCCCCCGGGACCCCCGAGCCCCCCCAGAACCACCGAGCCCCCCTCGGGACCCCCCAGGACCTGTTCCAATGCCCTGTTCCCCTGCCCAGCCCTCTCCTCGCTGCTCCAGCTGCACGCCCTTCCCGATGTGCAGCCTGGCCAGAGCCTCAGCATGGACCCCCTCGGGACCCCCCGGGACCCCCGAGCCCCCCCAGGACCCCCGAGCCCCCTCAGGACCCCCTCAGGACCCCCGAGCCCCCCCTGTTTCACCCCCCCAGCCCCCCGTTTTGCCCTGATTATCCCATGATTTTTCCTCACATTCCTATCACACCGGTTTCCCCCTCTCTCCTGATTTTTCCCCTTTTCCTCCTTCTGCCCTAACTATCCCCCATTTCCCCCCTATCCCCCTTTTCCCATTTATCCTCCAACCCCCCCCACCCCGATTATCCCCCTTTTTCCCCCCATCCTTCACCCCCACAGCCCCTGTGAGCCCCTGCCCCATTCCCAGGCCTGATTCCCCCCCATTACTCCCCACCCTCTCCAATGCCCCCCGTGCCCTCTGTGCCCCCCATGCCCCCTGACCCACCATATCCCCCGTACTCCCCGTGCCCCCCGTGCCCCCCTGACCCCTCTCACCCCCTGTGCCCTCCATGCCTCCCATCTCCCTCATGCCCCCCTCACCCCCCAATGCCCTCCACGCCCCCCGTTCCCCCCTCATCCCCCATGCCCCCCATGTTCCCCATTCCCCCCATTCCCCCTGTGCCCACCACGCCCTCCCTCCCCTCATCCCCCCCATCGCCCCCATGCCCCCCTCAGCCCCCATTGCCCCCCATGCCCCCCGTGCCCCCCGTGCCCCCCGACCCACCGTGCCCTCTCGCTGGCAGCGCAGCGCTGCACGTTCGAGAGCTGCCCCAGGCAGAACCGGGCGCCCCCCGAGGGGTCCACGTATCCATCCACGACCACCGAGGGGCAGCTCGAGGGCACCTTGAAGATCTCCCCCACCTGCACGTCCTGCTCGAAGTAGGCGATGGAGCACCAGAACTCCGGGCCTAGAACAGGGGAAAATTGGGGTTTTTAAGGGGGGGGGGGTCACGGCACCCATGGGTGCTAAGGAGGGTGGGGGGCACTCACCAGGGTGGGTGGACACGGGGGGTTGGAGCATGGGGGACCCTGGGTGGGGTAGAGAGGGGGTCAGCAGCTTGAAGACCCCTCCCAAGCCCTCCCCCAGTGCCCCCCAGACCTACAGCAGTGGTTGGGCTGGTGCTGGGGGTGGCCCTGGCTGCCGGGATGTTGTGGCAGGGGGGGCTGCGAGCCCCCCAAGCTCGGGGTGTAGATGGTGGCAGGGCTCCAGCTCAGCGGTGAACCTGCAGGGGGACACGGGGGGACATAGGGAGGGTCCCCCCAGAGGGGGTTTGGGGCAGTGGGGTACCCCCATACTCACCGTGCTGGGGTGGTTTGGGGTACCCGTTCTGTGCTGGAGGGCCCTCGGGGTGGCCCAGGGGGTCCTGGGGGGTCGCTGTGATGGGGGGAAGATGTTGATTTTATGTTTTAGAAAGTTTGATTTGTTTTATATATATATATATATATATATATATATATATATATATATATTTGTATATAAAAATATATAAAAATATATTTATATGTTTTTATATATTTCATATATTTGATATATTTGATATATTATATAAATTTTACATATTTAGATATTTATATTTTTATATATTTTAGATATATTTTCATATATTTATATATTTTATATATTTATATATTTTTATATATTTATATATATTTATATCGATATATATATTGTATATTGTGGAGTGAGGGGCTCAGGGCGATGCCCCAAACCCTCTCAGGGTGGGGGTTAAGGGGGGGTTCTCACCTTGGGGCGCCATGGGGAGCGCAGGGTAGGTCCGGGGGGGCACTCGGGGGGGCTCAGGGGGCAGCGCTCGGTGGGGCCGGGCGGGGGTCTCGACCCCCAGGTCCCGAGGGGGGGCCGGCAGCTCCATCTGCACACAGTCATGGACAAACTCCTCCTTCACCGGGCGCGGGGGGGGCACTGGGGAGGCCGGGGGACACACACCGGAGACCATGGGGGGGCACGGGGACCCGCGGCGGGGGCCTGGGCTGGCTCCGGGGGCGCCCCGGGCCGGGGTCTCACCTGTGCTCGGGATGCTCAGACCTGCGGGAGAGGTGGGGAGGGGGATTAGGGGTGCTGGTGACCCCCCCCCACCTTGGTGACCCCCCCATTTCGGGGGTCCCGGCTCACCGCTGCCGGGGGTCCCCACGCGCTCGTAGTGGTAGGGGTTGACACAGACGCTGTCGCACTTGAGGTCGAAGGCGAATTGGCAGAAGCGGGCGGGTTTCAGCTCGTTCTTGTGCAGGTCGGGCCAGCGCCAGAGCCGCGCGTAGATGACGTGCGGGAAACCCTTCCTGCCGGCCACCTGCGGGAGGGGGACACAACCGGGGACGGAGGGGCTGGGACCCCTCCCCGGGGTGACAACAGCGGGATGGGTGACAGCACTGGGATCCCCTCGGGGTGACAACAGCGGGATCACCCCTGGGGTGACAGCACTGGGATCCCCTCAGGGTGACAACAGCGGGATCCTCGTCAGGATGACAATACCGGGATCCCCTCAGGGTGACAATACTGGGATCCCCCCCGGGGTGACAATACCGGGATCCCCAAGCCCCCACAGTGGGATCCCCCCAAACCTCCACACCGGGACCCCCCAAACCCCCACACTGGGACCCCCCCTGAGCCTCCACACTGGGATCCCCCTGAGCCTCCACACTGGGATCCCCCCACACCGGGGTGCCCCCAATCCCCCACACCAGGATCCCCCCAGTCCCCCACACCGGGACCCCCCAAGCCCCCGCACCAGGATCCCCCCACACCAGAACCCCCCAAGCCCCCACAATGGGATCTCCCCCAGTCCCCCCCACCGGGATCCCCTCCAGCCCCCCCAGCACGGGGCTGGCGCCAGGCCGGGGGTCCCCCCGCGGTTCCAGACATAACAAACGCCCCCTCCCCGCTCCCCCCGGCTGCGGCAGACTCTGACTCACCGGGCAGGGCAGGGCAGGGCAGGGCGGTGCGGGGCAGCCGCGGAGGGGAGGGGGCTGCGGGCAGGGGGTGCAGCCCAGCCGCTCCCGCGGGACCCCGGGCACCCCAACACGCAGGACCCCCTAATCTGGGGTGGGTTTACCCTGTCCCCCCCATGCCGGTGTCCCGGGGTACCTGGAGCCGCCCGTCCAGGGTTCGCTGCACGGTGACACACTGGCCGGGCTGGGCCCCTCCGGAGGTGACAGCGGCCACCAGCGCGTCCAGCTCGTCCCTCTTCTCCTTCAGCTTCCTCAGCAGGCTCTGGATGGCGCGGCGGGCGAAGGCCTCGCTGTCCCCTCCCTGCCGGTGGCACAGCAGGCTGTGCACGATGCCGGGGCCGCTGTCGCCGCCCAGGGACATGGCGTGTCCCCGCGGGTCACCCTGCTGCAGGGGACACCGAGCCGCTGGCACCAGGGAAGGTGGCACCCTCCAGGTGACAAAGCCACGTCACCCAAAGCCTGGTTGATGGCACGACCTGAGTGCCAGTTTGTCCCCAGCGGGTCACCTTGCTGCAGGGGACACCGAGCCGCTGGCACCGGGGAGGTGGGTGGCACTCTCCAGGTGACAAAGCCATGTCACCCAAAGCCTGCGTTCTGCGCTCCCTGAGTGCCAGAGTTTGTCCCCAGTTTGGGGTGAGGTGACCGAGCACGGTTTACAGGGGCACCCGGGGTGTCCCCAGGCAGAGCTGGATGATGGTGGCATCAGGCTCGGGGGCACCGCTGTCCCCAGCCTGGCACGGAGCTGGGCTGTGGCCGTGCCCGGTGCCACGGGGATGGAGCCGCTCCCGCAGCCGCCGCCGAGCCCAGACTAAACAGAGCCCAGCCTGGCGCCGCTCCTTAACCCCTCTCATTCTCTCCCTGCCGGCTTCTCCCTTTCCTGCCAGACCCTGCTCACGCCAGAGCTTTGGAAAATCCTCGGGATGGCGGCAGACACAACAAACGCTGCTCTCTGCTCCTTATCTGCGACTGCGAGGGAGCCTGAGTGTCCTGCCAGCACTCCCTGCGTGTCCCCAGGCTCCTCCAAGATGGGGACACGTCCAGGGATGCTGAGGGACCCCATGGGGCTCCCTGTGGTGGGGGTGAGACCCTGAGCCCCCCGCCAGGCTCTGGGGTTCATCCCGGGCACCTCATCCCTGCTCCCTGCCCATCCTCTGCCTCATGTTTTGGGGCTAAAAGCAGTGGGAGAGGGGACCTGGGGTCCTGCTCCCCCTCCCAGCATCCCAAGGCTGCTCCAGGGAAGGTTGGAAGGGTCGGAGCCATTCCCGTCCCTCCGCAGAGCTCAGCCCGCTCGGGTTTGGGGGAAACGGCTCATTGGGGCCAGACCCGGCCCCGTCCTCACCCCGCATTGCCCTGCCCGGAGAACCCCGGGCTGATCCCAGTGCCAAAACTCGTCCTAGGGATGTTCCTGGGACACCACGGGCCACGGGAAGGCGACAGGGACAGCGCAGGGGTTCTGAGGAGCGACACGCTTCAAGGAGGGGGTGACAGGCTTCGAGGAGGAGGGGACACAGCGGGGACCCCCAGAGGTGGCTCGGGCTCCACTCACCTGCACCGGCCCCGGCTGCCGTCACTCGCGGCCCGGCTCCCGCCGCATCTCCTCCGGCTCACGGTGGGGCTGCCGTGTGTGCAGAGCCCTGCCTTCCCCTCAGCCCCTGCCCTCCCCTCAGCCCTGCCCTCCCCTCAGCCCCTGCCTTCCCCTCAGCCCTGCCCTCCCCTCAGCCCCTGCTCTGCCCTGAGCCCCCTGTGCTGCCCTGAGCCCCCTGTGCTGCACTCAGCCCCTCACCTTCCCCTCAGCCCTCAACCCTTATCTCCCCCACCCTCAGCCCTTTCCCTCAGTCCTCTGCCCTTCCCCTCAACCCCTGCCTTTCCCTGAGCCCCCTGCCCTTCCCTCAGCCCCTTCCTCCCGCCCTCAGCCTCCTCCTTCTCCTGTCAGCCCTTTCTCTCAGCCTCCCTCGCTTTTTCTGAGCCCTCTCCTCCTCCTCTCAGCCCTCTCCTCCTGCTCCCAGCTTTCTCCTCCTCCTCCTCCTCTCCCTCTCCCCGGTCCCGTTCCCGCTCCCTCGGCCCTTTCCCAACTCCGGCCCTACAATAACAAAAGGAGCGGCCGGAGCGCGTGAGGCGCCGCCGCGCCTCAGCCAATGGCAGCGCCCGTGACAGCCGGGCCTCGCCCCGCCAGCCAATCGCGGCCGCGCTTTCACGGCGCCAGCCCCCAGACGGGCCCCGCCCCCGGCGCCGCCGGGCCCGGCTCCCACCGGGAGCGCCGCGGCTCCGGCCCCGGTTACACCGCGGGAACGCCGCGGCTCCGGCCCCGCTTATACCGCGGGTCCGGCCCCGGTTATCCCGCGGGTCCCGGCCCCAGTTATCGCCCGGTTATTCCGCGGGTCCTGGCCCTGGTTATCCCCCGGGTCCGCCCCCGGTCCCACCGGGAACGCTGCGGGTCCCGGCCCCGGTTATTCCGCGGGAACGCCGCACCGGGAGGGCAGCAGGAGCCGGTGGATTCCCGGTGCCCTCCCTTTCCTTCTGCCCTGTGGAGTAAATTCAGGAAAATCCCATTTCCAGAGAAAACCCCACACAGAATCCTGGGAATTCTCTCTCCTTTAGGTAACCAGAAATGCAAAATTCCAAGGGAACAGGAAAGCTTAAAGCGTGGGTGATAAAAGTACAGAGTCTTTAGTTATGAAAATTCATCTTTTTTTTAAAAAAAAAGATGAATTTTGGAGCCTGTTCTGGAAAAGAGGCATTTCCACTTCACTGTCCTGGCTGAATTTTCTGTCCCTGCCTCTCATTTCTTTAAACAAACACTTGAACCACACGGAAATGCGGCGCCAAAAGAACTCAAACTCAAACCCCCCAAAATCCACTAGAACAGGGAAGATTTCCACCTGCCCCAACCCCACAGGGATTTTTGGTGCAGAACAAAAAGGATTTGGGAGGAGAAAACCAGCCAAAGTCAGGTTCTTCCTGCTGGAAAGGCTGATTTGGCTTTGGGGGGGTTAAACTGAACTCCAGCCATCCCAAAATGTACAAAGGCTGATCCCAAAAATCCAACAAACCCATGCCAAAACCCAAGAAACTCGTCCCAAAACTCAACAAACCCATCCCAAAACCTGACAAATCCATCCCAAAACCGAACCAACCATCCCAAAACCCACAAAGTCATCCCAAAATCCAAGAACCCCATCCCAAAACTCAACAAACCCTTATGAAAATCTAACAAACTCATCCCAAAACCCAACAACCCCAACCCAAAACCCAACAACCCCATCCCAAAACCCGACAAACCCATGCCAAAACACGACAAACCCCATCCCAAAACCCAACAAACCATCCCAAAACCCAACAAACCCATCCCAAAATCCAACAAACCATCCCAAAACCCAACAAACCCACCCCAAAACCCAACAAACCCATCCCAAACCCAAGCAGGGAGCTCCACAGGCACAGACACCAGGTCCCCAATCCACAGGCGCATCCCTGGCGCTGCCACCAGCAGATTCTCCACAGCAGCTCCATCCCCATCCGTGCTTCCTCAGTGAAAAACCACCAAAAAAAAGATCCCCGCAAAAGAACAATCCAAAAAAAGTTTAATACAACAGAGAGTATCAAAACATCCAAGAACACACTAAGTCTGAGTTTCCCCTGGGGGATCGAGCCCTCCCCGGCAGTCCCGGCCCCTCAGTCGGCGGCCTCGGGATCCGTCTGTGCCATGTACGCGTCCAGCTCGGCGTCCAGGTGTCCCTTGGTCTTGGACATGTAGGCGTCCAGCTGGTTGTCCAGCTGCTCCTTGGTGAGCGCGGGCCGTGCCGAGCCTCTGCCGCGGCCCCGGCCTCTGCCGCGCCCGCCGAAGCCGCCCCGGCCGCGCCCGGCCATGCCGCGCCCTGCAGGGTGGGAATGGTCACGGGATGGGTCCTGGGATTTCCCACTCTGTCATTGCTGGCACCCCGGGATTGGACACCCCTAATTCAGGGGATTGTACACCCCTCAATTGTGGGATTGTACACCCTCCATCCCGGGATTGGACACCCCTCATTCATGGGATTGCACACCCCTCCATCCTGGGATTGTACACCCCTCGTTCATGGGATTGTACACCCCTAATTCATGGGATTGTACACCCCTAATTAATGGGATTGTACACCCCTAATTCAGGGAATTGCACACCCCTCATTCATGGGATTGTACACCCCTCAATTGTGGGATTGTACACCCCTCAATTGTGGGATTGTACACCCCTAATTCATGGGATTGTACACCCCTAATTCAGGGAATTGCACACCCCTCCATCCCGGGATTGTACACCCCTAATTCATGGGATTGCACACCCCTAATTCATGGGATTGCACACCCCTCCCTCATTCACGGGATTGCACACCCTCCATCCCGGGATTGCACACCCCTCATTCAGGGGACTGCACACCCCTCGTTCACGGGATTGCACACCCCTCGTTCACGGGATTGCACAGCTCTCATTCAGGGGATTGCACACCCTTCACTTCGTCCATTTCGGGATTTCTCACCCCACCCTCCATCCAGGATGGGATTTCCCACCCCTCGCTGCCTGCATCCCATCACTGCCTGCATCCTGGGATTTCACACCTCTCCATCCTGGGATTTCCTACTCCTCATTGCCTCAATCCCATCACTGCCTCCATGCCATGATTTCCCACTCCATCATTGTCTGAATTGAATCCCAGGATTTCCCACCCCTCCATCCTGGGATTGCACACCCCTCAATCACGGGATTTCCCACTCCATCATTGTCTGAATCCCAGGATTTCCAACCCCTCATTCATGGGATTTCATACCCCTCACTACCTCCATCCCGGGATGGGATTTCCCACCCCTCACTTCCATTTCAGGATTTCTCACCCCACTCCTCACTGCCTCCATCCAGGGATTTCCCACCCCTCACTTCGTCCATCCCAGGATTTCCCACCCCTCTCAGCCCCTTAAAGATTCATGGTTACACTCCCAGCTCCTTCTCATCACTCAATTTAGGAGCTTCCTGAAAACTCCTCAATCCCAGCCTAACACCAACACCCGGCTCTTGGCTTTCCCATCCCACCCTGCTGATAAAACCACCACATCTTGGATAAAAGCTTTGAATCCCAGGCTGGGAACTCTTGTGGCTGCAGGCCCCAGTCCCCAGCCCTGGCCAGCAGAGAAGGATCCCAGCTGGATCCTGGATTATCCCTGCTGCTCCCAGGCACTGACCTCTGCCGCCGATGCCTCCCCGGCCCATGGCGCCCCGGCCCAGGCCGCCTCTGCCCGGGCCCCCGCGGCCCCTGATGCCGCCTCTGCGCAGGCCCATCCTGGGGGCAATCCCTCTCCCGCCACGCAGCAGGCCTTGACCTTGGGTGGAAAAGCCAGAAAAATGGGTCTTGAGGTGGGATTTCATGGTTTCCCTCAGGACACAGGTCCCTCCCCTGGTATTTCCTTCCCAGGTGTGTCAATCATCCCTCCCTTCCCCACCCTGAGCCCTGTGAGCTGTCTGGCAATCCTGGAATTCCAGGAGGGACATCCAGGTGTCCTTTGTCCCTTGTACCTGGTTGGTGGCTCCCTATCCCTTCCCTCCTCCTCTCCTCCAGCAACCACTCAGTTCAGGGAGTTCTGTTGGAGCAGTTGCTGGATCCAGAATAAAAACTCTGGATTAAAACCCTCCATCAGAACTGACTCCTCTCCTTCACCACTGCCTTAAAGCTTCTCCAGCAGAGGGAAACCTGAGGAACCTTCCATGGCAGGAAGCTCCATCCCACCACCACCACCACCAGAGCCCTGAAATGTCTGGACTTGTCTCCACGTGCCCAACTGCAACATCCAGCTGGCCAAAAGTGTTTTTAGGGTGAAACACCTCACATCCAGCTGGCCAAGTGTCTTTGGGGTAAAAACACGTCACACCCAGCTGGCCAAAAGAGTCCCTGGGGTGATCCAGAGAGCCAAAGGTATCTCTGAGGTGATCCAGCTGGCCAAAAATGTCTCTGGGGTAAAAACACCACACATCCAGCCAGTCAAAAGTGTCTCTGGGGTGATCCAGCTGGCCAAAAGTGTCTCTGGGGTAAAAATACCCCACATCCATCTGGCCAAAAATGTCTCTGGGGTGATCCAGCTGGCCAAAAGTGTCTCTGGGGTAAAAAAACCCCACATCCATCTGGCCAAAAATGTCTCTGGGGTGATCCAGCTAGCCAAAAGTGTCTTTGGGGTGAAGCAAACACCACAGCTGCCCCTATTTGGTTCAGCCAAGCCAAAGCAGGTCCCACCCGCAGTATCAGCAACACCAATAAACAGAATTTCAGCCAGGGGAACGGCGTGTGAGGGGACAGGGGATGGCAGGGCACTGACCTCGGAGTGCCACCCCTCCTCGGATGATGGCGCGGGCGCCGCGGCCCCGCAGGGCCCCCCGGGGCAGCCCCCGCTGGCCCAGGGCCAGCCCCCGTTGGCCCAGGGCTCCTCGGGCCAGCGTCCCCGCCGGCCGGCCCAGCCGCGCCTGGATGTTGCTCTTGCCGAGGCGCTGCTTCAAGCTCTTCTGGAAGAGAAGATTTGGGAGGGACAGGAGTCATGCAGCAATCTGGGACTGGGGATGTGAAAGGGCTCCACCACAGGAAAAGCCAGCACGGCAAAGGGTAAAGAGGGAGG